GGAGATGCCCAGGCACTAGTTGAAGGTTCAATTACTCCCCGTTCCAGCATCTTCTGGATCTCTTCTTTTTCGATTTCCCGTTTTCCTAAGGGTTGCCTGCGTGGAGGTTGCCTAATAGGACAGGCTGTCCCAGTGTTGATGCGGTGTTCCACTTGTGAGGTTCTACCAAGGTCAGCTGATGAAGTTGCAAAGACTTGTTGGTATTTCGCAAGAAGAATTGCCAAATCTGCACTCTCATCAATGGAGAGATGCTTGGAGCTTCTTTGCCAAAGGTCCTTGAGGTGCTCAGGCAGGTGTGTAGACTGTGAATTTGAAGCATCCGCATTGGCATCGCAGTAGACCGAAGCACATCTGTCATGTACACCCTCATGAATATACAGCGACTCGGCTAATCCCAAAACCATGTTACAATGGAGCTTTACTTCATCAGGACTGAAGTTGAGGACATTTATTTTCTGGACCTCTTCAGATGTATTTATTATGCAATCAGGTATATGTAATCCTGGTGGAAGATCCCTTTTCTCCGCTATCATACCAACTGGGGCAAGTTTATTTGCTCTGGGTATCTTCATGATGATCCAGGCTCCAGAATGAGGTGGAATAACTGTGGTCTCACTCACTTCAACACGGCAGCTCATTTCAGCTTCAGATGCAATCCAACAGCTTAAGGAAGAATTCCTTGAATTTAGTTTCAGACGTTTGTAGTCGATGGCACTCACATGTTTCAAAGGAAATCTTGACCCAGTATTGCATCTGGAAAAACTTCACACACAAAGATAGGATGTGTGTATTTGTGTCCATCAAGAATAATGTCCATGACAGCATGCCCTTCAACCTTTAAACCTGCTCCATTGACTCCTGTAACTTTGATGGCCCCTTGCTGCAGAAATGGAGCGTCATCCAACTTGATCTTGTCAAAGATCCTCTTTGATAAAATTGTCATGGTTGACCCACTGTCAATAAGGACATTTGCTTCTACACCATACAGAACACCTTGAATATAGAATCCATTATCCCACCCCCCTTGAGAGTTTCCAGTCAATCCAACTCGGATACCAGTATCTTCAGGCCTTGGATTTCCTGTCTCCCCATGGCCTACTGAGTCGACAGGAAGGCATTTCCCTGCATCCTACCAGTCCCAGAATTAAATGTGGACATCTCTTCTTGGCATCTTTTGTATATCGGGCAGTCTTTCATAAAGTGTTCCCTTGATTTACAGATGAAACAAGTCCGTTGACTTTGAGGTCGATCATTTCTCTTTTCATATCTGAAGTTGTTACCCTTTTCCAACTTCTCTAACCTCGCCATGATCTTGTTCAGTACACAATCACCCTGAAGATCTTCTCTTGGCTTTGGTGTGCTTCCATGTTGCATAGCAGCAAGCTCTCCTTGATTTCTATCCCCTACTGCCCTGACTTGTCTCTTCTTTTCTCGGTGGTCACCAACTAATGCTTCAAACCTTTCAATGACTTCCACGGCTTCTGAAAGTGTCCTGCATCCTCTATCAATGCAATGAAACTTGAGCTCTGGTGAAACTGTTTTATACAGCTGATTAAGGGCAATAGCTTCCTGTGCTCTGCTATCCAAGTTTACATATGCCCTTTGGGTCATCTGTCTCAGGTCATCGGCCAGAGCTGCAACTGATTCTGCAGTCTGCCTCTGTCTGACTTCTAGTCTTGAAAGCCATAAGCTCTGTTGTCTCTCACTCCCAAACCCGGTGATTGAGATTCCTAACAAGCATATGCAGTGACCTCTTCTGATGTGGTGCCAGTCCCATGTAGAGCGTCCTGGCAACCCCTTCAGGCTGGCAGCAAGCACTAAGAGTTGCTGGTCCATGGGCCAGTCACCTAGTTCTGCACAATTCCTGAAATGGGACAGGTACTCTTCCCAGTCTGTTGTCCCATCATAGAAATCTGGTCTAATTGTGAAGGGTGCCTTCTTCTTGGTATGGCCATTGGCCTTCTTGGTGTTATATCACTTCTGTGGCGTACCCTTATGTCTCCACTGGAATTGCTTGGCTCTTCATCAATTGATTCAGCCTCTTCAATGACTTCATCAAGTATCTCCTCCTCAAAAGAGATGTCCCCTTGTCCCTCTTGTGTTGCAGTTTGCTGACATTTGTCAAAAGAAACTTCAGCGTCTGGAGATACTGTAGCCATCTTGTCACTGGTCCTTACTGTGAGTCCTTTGGTTCGTATCAAGGATGTTTAAATATATAAACATCCCACTTCTGACACCAGTTTGTGGCGGCCGGGACTCACACTTCAATTAAACCTTGTCAGTCTTGTTTTCAGGAAGAGTCAAACACTTCTTTTCATGGGTATAAATGTACTTCAGCACAATGCTATTTCTAATAAGTAGATCCCTCTCAAGCTTAAGGTTTATGTGCATGGACCAGTGTTAGGGCAATATAAGTATGACCTTTGACTTTACTGTTATATAGATATAGTGATGGCTTAATTATCTGGGTAATCTGAATAACTTGATAGTTACTAAGATATTAATTTGCGTCTGTGTTCGAAAAGTGCAGTCTATCTATAGCATCAGCTATTATAAATTATGTAAGGACAAGGGGAACTTTTGGGCTGAATTATCTGCCCTTGGTTTGAAACTGACCTGTAGACTGCCAAAGTCAGAATGACCCAACATGGGTCTCACCGTATTTATAGGTGTGAGAAAATGGTCACATGTCAGTTCTAGACCAATCAAATTACGAGATATTACGTCCCGTTACGTCCTTATTCTTTTGAGGGATCTACTTTCACAACATGAAACCACTGAAATAAAGAGGAAGGCGAATTATCTCAGGAGGTAATCAGGTAGGAAAATGACTATTTTTACCAACCAATTAATTATGTGTAATTAATTCATTAATTGCCTTCCAATATCATAAGATCAACAATTGCGATCTCTCTACGTCTTGCTACGTCCTTGCTGCCTGCTGAGGGGCGTAATATCAACAAGTAGCATCGGCTGGGAATTATGATGGACAATTCAAAGAGGAAGATTACAGATGTCAGGAGGCAATTGGAGTTTATCTGACACATAAGATGTTTAAAAACATGACTCAGCCCCTTATGCAATTAGACAGTGGCACTGGAAGTCATATTTATGAAAAACACGTTCATAAATAATGATGCTGAACATCGGCGATATGAATACAACAGTGAGAATCACATAGTTCCGTTGTCAGAATTAACATCGGCTTTGAAACATGACCTGATACATCATCAAGTACAATTCTGGGTTCCTCTCGTAATTCACAAGATTACATAAACTTTACAATGCAAAACACTAAGCTGAGTCAAAAGTAGCGGTAACCCGTTGGCGAAATAGACTGGCTGTCACAAAGTTAAAATGGCGGCGCCACCAAAACATGTAGCTCGGCCCTGATCACAAATTCACCAAAGAATGGATAATTAACGAGTGTCAAGGGATTATGATCAGTTTGTCGAAGGACAAGGTAAGATTAATCCATATCGGATAGTTAGTTTTAAGTAACTAGGCGGCTTAGAGCGAGGAAATGTCAAAAGTTACGGTCAATTCAAAACTCTTGAAAAGGTAAACAAGATCGTTCTGACAGGAGGCGTTGTTGACATTGACTCTTACAAAGTACAACTGTGTTCTAAACAAATAGCGTAATGTGATGGCACTAGCTTATGATGTTTTACTTAATGCAATACATGTTATAATGCTCAAAACATGCTACGATCTTTTTGCTAGATTTCTTACCAAAACAGATTTCAAAACACTGAATTACGTGAAAACGAGGTTGCCAATAATACTCGTATATAGCTGCAAAACTAATTACACGATAATTATAATAACAATTTCTGCACTGCCATAAACTATCAAAAATACAGATGGGAAATACCTAACAGATATGTCATGATGCCTAATCATTTACAAGCTTTTATAACTTATGAATTTTGCAATTAAAATGCAGGAGTATTATTTAAATCTTCGTGATGGCCATCACAGTACTAGCCCAGACTGAAGCTGGTTTTATAGTGCTAGCCCACTGAGATACCATGCCGCAGTGAAGCATTAATACCCCACTCAGACACATTATACTGACTCCAAGCCGACCAGTCCTTGTTGTACCCATTAATGCCGAGAGCCAGGCAGGGACCAACAAGTACCATATTTTAACGTCTTTTGGTATGACGCGGTCGGGGATCGAACCGGCGACATTCCGCACTCCGGGCGGACGCTCTAACCACTACACCTCGGAGGCGGTCCCAGACTTTCATGTATGCTAATAGTGAGTGAGATAGTTTTATGCTTTTAGCAATATTCCAGCAATATCATGGCGGGGGAGGCCAGAAATGGGCTTCATATACTGTACTCTTGGGGAATCAAACCCAGATCTGTGGGAATTCTGTGCTGAAAACAAGTAGCATGTGCTTGTGATCCTACCCCTATTGCATAAATCACTGCTCCTAATATCAATCACCAGATTGTCTGGTCCACAGGCTGTAAATAGCTGGAATAATGCCTGTAAGTCTCTCGAGGTGCAACTTGCAGTACTAAGCTTGTTCCCGGCTCCCTTTGCACGCACCATCTTATGATATGCGAGACGGGACCCAGTTTACTTCTGGTACCAGATTTCCAGCCACAGTATATTCAAGAACCAGTTCTGGTTCCAAACTGCGTGAGCGCCAAATATGACCAGACCAAGTGTACAACCATGCTTGACCGTCAAAGCTGTTGACAGTCGTAAAAGTTGGCTAATTTGGGGATGGTTAGATCAGAAATTTGTTATTCCTGCAAGGATTATCGGTTCCTTACTGTCAACTGACAACCATGAGACCATTCAAAAAGATATGAAACGGGTTTTTTTCACCGGAGCTACTAAGGTCGCAGGAAGTGCTGTGGCCTACTTCCGAACCCTAAAGTGCTGAATGAGGTGCTGAACAACAAACAACACAATATATCACAAACAAGAGTTTTCGTCTGGCTGTAGAACGACTCTAGAGATAACTGATTGATATACATACCACTCTTGGGTCTTCACTCTGTGACAGCAGAGGAATGAGAGATGCAGTAAGCAGATACGTCCCTGAAATGTACATGCCATGAATCAATAATGATAAGGCTGAGAATGGCAAAACAATGATGATGGTATAAATTATGGACGGTCCCTTAGAACAAAGTCGTATTTTCGATGTCTTTCGATAATTTTTCAATATAGACACAGTAGGACAGGGGTGGAAATAACCCATTGCCCGACGCCCGAGTCCAGTGTTTTTTTCTTTCCGGCAAGCAAATTTGTATATCACACTGTACCGGTGTCCAGTTGACTTTCCAATATTAATTATGTTGTTTATGTAAAAAATCAACAAGAAAACGGCCGGTATAGTGGAAAAATTATCAGGGCAAGTGATTTTACATGTGCCACTGTACCGGAGTACACTAGCAATTTTAAAGTTATTTCCACCCCTCAGAGCTACAGATAACTTTTTTGAGTCATTGAGTTATGTACTCGCTTGTGCTCATCCCAATTGGGTATCCTAATTTTTCTTTGAGTAACTAAATAAATTGTACTCACTTCACTCAAACTCAATTGGGTATTTTGCTATTTCCATTAACTTTAAAAATACAATAAAGTTTAAATGTTAGTGTTTGTTATTTATATTTGATCTGTAATATGAGAAACGATAAGAAAGACTACAAGTTGCCAAGTTCATGTTCTGAAATAGAATGTCTCAATATACCCCAGTTATTTTATTTATCCACCGGTACCCAAGCTAAGATTTGACATTTTTGTGTGTACGCATGTAAGATCACATTTATTGAGTATTTACTAAAACTCAGCGTACTTGTACACAAGAGTCTTAATAGGAATTGAGTTTTCACATAAATATTTGCGTAATTTACGCAGATACGCAGCTTATCTGTACCTCTGACCCCTGTAGGAGTACATCATCATGAGTGGTGTGTCATACACACGAGTGCTCAGATCTAAATCGGTGTGGTACGACAATAGCAAATGACACAAAACAAACTTGAGTTCTTCTTCAGATCTATTTCATTTTGAAACTGTTATACATATATGTAGAATGACATCTTTCATCATTAATTTGAGACACTAAATTGAGGCTAGAATGCAACAATTATGAGTCCAGCTGTAAGTCAGTTTGAGCATATCTTACATGTTAGAATAGAACAGATGCGGTCTCAGCCAATCAGAATTCGACATTCATGGGGAGGTAGGATAATTAAGAATGTTCACTGGTAATATCAATAGTGTTCAAGGGCATCAGTATTAGCTACTAATATTTAGTTTGTCATTAATGTCTTGCAACAGACCATGTACAATCGTCATGTCATGTATGTGAAGGAAACTCTTTAGTAGTCTTCATATATAAACATCAAAGCTTGCTTAAGGATAGAAAACAGCATTTATGCAACTATTTTTGTCGCACGTTTTCCTAAGGCTCCACAGACCAGTTTGCATCAAACATTTAATTTGTGATGACCACATACCAAGTGAATTTGTGGCAAAATTCTTCTCCAGTCCATCTTCTGAAACTTCTCTTGTGTTCACCATACATCCAGCATTGTTTATCTGTGACAGGAAACCAACTTTAGAATCGGCTTGCATGATAACCAAGTCAGCATGGCTAGTACACGATTGAGTCCAATATAACAACGTTCACAGAAACAGCATGTTTTCATGTTCCTTTGAAACATACATGCTTTTTATTCCTCCAAAAATATCTCCAAAAAGACAGGCAGCACATTTCAATTAGACTCAAGCACTTGTCGGACTTTAATTATCAACAAGACTATTGTCATAATGACTTAAAACATGTACAATATATGAACAAGGTAGTGTACATGATGCTCACCAAAACATTCAACTTTCCTGTATTTTTTTCAAAATCGGAGGCAAATTTTATCACTTCTCTTGGCTGTGACATGTCCAGTAAATGTAGATGAACATTCTGGAAAAAAGAAATGGTTCAAAGTTTATTGTAATTCACACAAGAGCAATCATTGGCTTGGAGTCTGAACTGACTTATTCTCTGTGATTAACACTGTAGCTTATCAATCTCATCACACCATTTACATCAGTATCCGTATGCATATCTCACTTGGGCGCAGTTCAAGCCTTCAAAATCAGTGTTATAAAAGAAAATATTGGTCTATGTTCATTGTATTTTTAACTCTTACAGTACACTATTCTGTTGACATGGTAGAACCTAACATAGCCAGACATAAAATGGATTGACATAGTGACAATGGTTTGGACTTGTAGTGTGACACTGGGAGTCTTTCCTTCACTCAAATCATCAATTAAATCCAAATTAGCCACAATAAGCAGCCTGCTCTAAATATGCATCCTCTGACCAAGTTCTCCCTACTGAGACAATCAGGTACATCATAGTCTATATTTACTTGTGTATATTATAGATTTCTTTTATATAAAGCTGCTGTCATAAAGATGAGAGAAAATTAGTCCATTCTATGAGTGAGTGAGTGAGTTTAGTTTTACGCCACACTCAGCAATATTCCAGCTATATGGCATCGATCTGTAAATAATCAAGTCTGGACCAGACAATCCAGTGATCAACATCACAAGCATCGATCAACGCAATTGGGAACTGATGACATGTCTCAACCAAGTCAGCGAGCCTGACCACCCGTTTCCTTTAGTCGCCTCTTACGTCAAGCATTGGTTACTGAAGATTAATTCTAACCCGGATCTTCACGGGTAGTTCACTCTATGTTTAAACTAACTTGTTGTTTGCGCTCAATCTCCTTCAAAATAACTCATAGTTTATGGCTTTAACAATCACTCCCCATCACCATCCACTCTGTTAATTTTGTAAGTGTGTCAGAGTGCTTATTACAGCATAGAGAGTATTGACACATGACCTCAATCTACCCAATTTTGTCAATACAGACAAATGTATATTCCAATCCAAGCTTGTCTACCCTGTGTGAATACACAACATTGATATCAGATTACAGATTACCCCAAAAATGTTACAATATGATGATTTTGTACGATAGAAATGGAAAACGTAATTGGGTCACAGATGTCAAAAATTTACTATTTTCTACTGGTTTCGGGTAATATATGGCTAGAACAGTGCATAGACTCGCATCCAAATTTTCTCATCTCCATTAAACAAAGGTTACAAGATATAGTATCTCCAGACTTGGCTTGACCAATTATCTGTATCAAATAAATGTTTCTATTACAGAATGTTTAAACAATCTATATACAATGAAACCTATCTATCATATTTTAATGTAAGGAAATATAGAATCACGCTTACAAAATTTTGTTGCTCCTCCCATGATTTGTTAATAGAAACAGGTAGATATATTGGAATAAAAAAAGATGATAGAATATGTAAAATGTGTGACTTGAATCTAATTGAAGATAAATATCATTTTCTTTGTGTTTGCCCAGCCTACCACAATTTAAGAAATAAGTATATTAAGAAATATTACTTTGAACATCACAATATTTATAGATTTATATCTCTGTTAACCTACTCTAGCAAGGAACACCTGGAAAAGTTGTCAATGTTCCTGTACCATGCCTTTCTACACAGGAGAAATGTAGTCTCTACTGCCTAATAACAATATAGTCAGTATACATGTACTATAGGCCTGTGGCCTCTTAAGTGCAAATAAAGACTATGAACTTGATTTCCTCGTTGTCAGGGTTTACCTGGTTTCCAGTCACTTCAGTTATCTCTGCCTTGGCCTCCTCCCCTCGCTTGCTGTCCCTACACACCATGTGAACAGTCCCACCTAGCACACACAGAAGGAGTGGAGATTCAGTAACAGTTCATGGAATACCTCGGTAGTAAGCAACATTACAGGGATACTCAGAGGCTTCTACTGGTCAAACATGATAGCAGAATATGAGCTGCAGGGTGTTTGGGAATTTACAACCTGTACTGTATAGTACAGGATGAAAATAGCTTCAACATTAACTGATTTATGGTGATTATCTTTGCTTATTTATCACTAAAATCTTTGAAGGGGGGGTTGGGGAATTTACAGATATCAACTGCTGTATCATGATATAGAACAAACTTTATGGATAACAACTTCTTTTTATTAGTGAGTGCGATGTTTCGATACAGATTTCGATACAGATACTCTCCGGCTTCATCAGCTTTCTGCCTAGCCAATTATGTTAATTATGTTGTTTTCTTTGTTACAATGTTACATCCAGTATATATACACTTCCCCCTTCTTCATGTTCCATTATGCTTGACAACGGTACAAGAATCTGTATCGAAACGTCGCACTCACGAATAAAAAGAAGTTGTTATCCATAAAGTTTGTTCTATATTGTACTTCCCAACTTCTAAAATGCCACTTAAAGAAGTGTATCATGATGTCTTGGAGTATGTCCCTATTCCTCCATCAAGTGAATGAAAACTATGACGTAGAATGCCTATATATGTACATGTGAGAACATCAAAAGTGATGAGATAAACAAAGGCGGAAACTAGCAAGGGAAGCTGGTAGATAATTGGTGCTGAAATGTAATAACAATGGACAATTGGAAACAAAGAGTAAATACAGGAATAAATCATGCTAATAGGTAATAATTATATAATAACTGATTGGACATGAGGGCAAGGTGGGCAACCAACATTGATTGGTGATAAACATGGACACCAGCTGGAACTATATATATGGTGACTATTTTTGCTTAGTTTATCCCTATAAGGGATGATGGAATTCACTGTACATCACTATATTTAATCAATTTGACTGGTAACCAACCATAATCCCTTGTTCTTTAATCTTAACTGTATGATAAGCAAATACCTTTCTTTGCAATAGCAATAGCTGCACATTTTCCAATTCCACTGTTTGCACCCGTGATCATGAAACTTCTCCCTGTCACATCAACCTCCATGTCACCAGCATTGAACGCCTTACAGGCTGAGGCATACCCGGATCTGAAATACATAAATATGAATTTGTGAAAACATTCACGAATAAGTTCTGAGGAAATACATTTCACATCACTTTAAAGATTACTGCACTCATATTGCTGCTTGTATTACTCAAAGAACATGTTAGTGTTATAGTGAGATAACAGGGAACAGTTTAACATGCCTTACCCTTTCACAGAGATGCCAACCCTATTTTGGGCCTAAGTGTAATACTGGAGGTCAAAAAGTGTAATTTGGACCTAAAAAGTATAATACTTAAAACACTTACATAGTGAAAACGTGATAACTTTATAAAAATTACTTTTAAAAGTAAGGCCATTTCTGAACCCCTGCACTAGTGCGTTACGAAAAATATTCCCTGTGAAATTTTATCCACTTTATTGATTTTCGCAAAACGGGTAGAAAAGCGTAATTTTCACAGATTAAGTGTAATGGCGTAATTTAATGGTCAAAATCGTAATAATTACGCCCAAAGCGTATGGGTTGGCATCTCTGCTTTCACCACCAGATGTTTTAATGTACCAGAAATATTCATGCTGACAGCAGACAGACACAAAGGAAATAGACTCAGCTAGCTTTACTATGAATGCTGTACAAAGCACACCATTAGTTGTATGTAGTTGGTGTAGGAAGTTAACTTCATGGGTAACAGCACACATGCACCAATCTTCATTAACAAATCAGACCACCTCCGTGGTGTAGTGGTTAGAGCATCCATCTAGAGAGTGGAAGGTCGCGGGTTTGATCCCCGGCCGCGCCATACCAAAAGACGTTAAAATATGGTACTTGTTGGTCCCTGCCTGGCTCTCGGCATTTATGGGTACAACAAGGACTGGTCGGCTCGGAGTCAGTATACTGTGTCTGAGTGGGGTATTCATGCTTAACTGCGGCATGGTATCTCAGTGAGCTAGCACTATTTAACCAGCTTAAGTCTGGGCTAGTACAAACAGCCGCACATACACATGTGAGCACGTTGTCATATGAGCGAAATATTCTCAAGTACGACGTTAAACCCAATTTCACCTCACCTCATTAATAAATCAATGCGATATTTCATATTACATTTTAGTGGCAAGTAAAAGAGTAATCTATTATCACCAGGTTTTAGCTTCATGCATGCTTTCAACTGAGTGAACTCACTCTTGCTCCATTTTTGACATTGTTGAGTATAGTTTTGAACTACAAGCCCCTTTTCTCACTGAGATCATAATAATTATGGTCAATATGGTATATGTGATACATATTGTTTATGTGCAAATCTCTTACTTTGTATATTCTTTCAATCCTTTCATAAACCAGATTGCATTTCTGAAGAATGACATCTTAAGGTGCTTATCGTTAGTTCGGTCACTCTTCAACTTCAACAAACCTACAAACATAAAATACAAACTGCATGAACAAGATTTGTCAAGATGTGAGTTATCACTTAGCACAAAAGTAGCTTTATGACATAGATGTAACAAGAATTATATTTCTACTGCTGTGTATACATGTATAGACCATATCTTTGTATACTTCAGTAGGTATATGTTGGAGCTATACGTTCACAACCATGATAACATCTGATTCTTGCGACAATTACTGACAGGTACACTTAGGCTAGGCACGCCCATGATGAAGATCGAATATAAATTTGCAAGAATAAACTGTCGTTTTCAGTTTCTGTACGACTTAATTTCGTTTTGACACATATACAATTTAGAAAGAATTGCCAATTACAGAAATGGCTGTATTGTAAATTAAGAACTAAAATGTGTGTTCTCCGTAAGATGCGAGTTAAAATCACTCGGTTACGTAACGACCACCCAGTTATCATTTTCTGTCAATAGAAACGTTTGACATGTCCAATCAATGGTGCAGTCTGATACATTTGCTATTTCTTGTAAATAAAACCAACAATTTAACAAAAACTGATAGAAAATTATGGTCAAAAAGTGCATATACAAAATGCAAATGTGCCATTTACCAACCGTGCCTGCGATCTGATGTGAAGTACGTTGTGCACAGTGCTTGGTTTTATACAAAATCAGAAGCACCTTATCATGCGAATCGCGAATAGCAAAGCATTACTTTGGAAAGTTCTTATTGATTACCAACAACAGACTGACTAGATGTCTTAGCAGGCATGATTTTCCGTTCACAATAACAGACAAAAAGGAATAAGTGACAGGTTCTAATTATATATCTCATTTTGTTCGTTTCGTATTTTCAATTTTCACACAAATGATGACGTACAGCACATCCCGTATAATGAGCTGGAAGCTGTACAAAATGTGATATTTGTCTTTGTATTTTACCACGTATTTTAGCCCAGAACATAGTCTTGAAAATGGTAAGTAGTTTGATCAATAGTTAGATACCCGTATCATCTAATATTTAGCTAATTTAGGACAAATAATAAGTTAAATTAATCATGTTCTAACTTGTGTTGCTAGTTCATGTTCAAGCCTAAGCATATTAATCTACATATTGCCACGCCCATGTACCAGTAATTACAGTTAAAGTTAAAGGAATTTCCGCTGAGGTTTTGTGTAAAGTCTACATTGCACATACGTTGATCAGTTGTAAGTTCGAATGCCCCTGTTTTACAGTTTCATGAAACATGATAATGGTGTTCATGCAATAATCCGGGGCAGTTGGGTAGCCTAGTGGTTAAAGCGTTGGCTCGTCACGCCAAAGACCCGGGTTCGAATCCCCACATGGGTACAATGTGTGAAGCCCATTTCTGGTGTCCCCCGCCGTGATGTTGCAGGAATATTGCTAAAAGCGGCGTAAAACCAAACTCAGTCAGTCAGTCATGCAATAAACCAAATCCTAGTATCATGGAACCATCAATTATCGAGGTGGTTAATGTTATGGTCGTTAGGATTATGAATGCCAACTGACATTGGGCATCACACACATATTTCAGTTGACTGATGTTAAACATTTATTCTTTTGTCGTAAGAAACGAGGCATATAGTTAAAATTGTTCAATACAAGCATGGAAACCCTTAAAATTGTTCAATACAATCATGGAAACCCTTAAAATTGTTCAATACAAACATGGAAACCCTGTGTTGCCCTTGTGACCCTAAATGCATTGAGGTGACTCTCTATGATTGTGGTATTGCTATTTTTAGACTATGGCACACCTTACAAGCATGTAACACTGTCCAACATTTACTTACCTTTTACTTACCACAAGTAACGAATCTTAATAGTTATAAATATATAAAAATATTTAGGAATTTAATTAAGATCAGTAAGGTAAGTATTGTTTGAACTTAGTCACAACACGTATCAGAGATTAAGCAGCACATGCACACCACTCAACCCCCAGCATAGTACTCAGAATGGTGTCATACTGGGAAACCATGCAGATACAGATAGAGATACAGAACAAAAGGTTTGGATGTTCTATTAATTTGGATACAAAGTTACAATAATATAGCAAAGTAATTTTTAGCCTGAAAACGTGCTATGAACTTAGTTGCTGTGTGCAGTGTGAAGTGGCACAGTATGCCACTTCTGGTTGTATTTTGGGGACAGTAAATGTACAAGACCACCTTACAGCTGTCGATGGATTATTCTCTTAGTAGAACCCGTGAAGGTCCGGGTTAGAATGAACCTTCAGTAACCCATGCTTGTCGTTACCCGTGAAGGTCCGGGTTAGAATGAACCTTCAGTAACCCCTGCTTGTCGTTACCCGTGAAGGTCCGGGTTAGAATGAACCTTCAGTAACCCATGCTTGTCGTTACCCGTGAAGGTCTGGGTTAGAATGAACCTTCAGTAACCAAACCTGGAAATAATAGGTCTTCCAGTCTCTATGAATTCGTCAACATAGTTATGGTATAGCAGTTTTGATGTTTTATCTTCACCATGTGAGCTATTTGTCCATTTTATCTCTCTTTGGAAGTTATATATCTATAAATACAATACAAGCACGGGTTGTTGTCCATAAGCATGTTAAGAGTGATATGTTGTGTTTACTTGGTCATCAGTCAGCTTAAAAGAGATGCCTATGCAGCAATTAGTAAATGCAATTATGAGCAGTACTTCATCATTCAACTTACAAACACTATAATGTTCATCTACATTGTGTTATATTTAATTTCAGATGCAGTTTATGCTTCTGTTCAGCCGACAAGGCAAACTTCGGCTACAGAAGTGGTATGTTGCCAACACAGACAAGACCAAGAAGAAGATCACACGAGAACTAGTCACGATGGTCTTAGCCAGGAAACCAAAGATGTGCAGCTTTCTTGAATGGAAAGATCTTAAAATTGTTTATAAAAGGTGAAGCCTTATTTTCTATTGATCTCATCTATTTATAACTTGACAAAAAGGATACACATTGTCCCTCTCATGTTTGTGCCTGTATTCTATCATGTCTACATACAGTGAAACCTGCCAACACCAGCACCTGTCTATTCCAGCACACTGTCAAAACCGGCCTAAATTTTGCCCCTGCCATTTTGCAACGATATTATGGTCATTAAAACATTGCCTATTCCTTCACCTGTCTATTCCGTATTCTGGCATGACTTTCCGGTCCCAACAAGCAATTTTAACTATAATTTACACTGTCTAAACCAGCATGGGTATAAGCAGTCCAATCAAGGACCCATAATCCAATACACTAATTAATCCTCTTGGCACGCTAGACTATTAGGAAGTAGTGATTGCACGGTGAATCAAACGCTCTAAGATGGCATGGGTATGAGCAGTCCAATCAAGGTCCCTTAATCCAATACACTCGTCTCAGGAAGTACTAATTGCGTGGTGAATCAAATGTTCGTAGGATTACCACGGTTTTGCTTTATAAACACTGGGGGATTGTATTAACTATTTTCAAGTGAGTGGTGTGTGAGAGAGTAAATAAATAGATATTGGTTTTATTGACTCGTCAGTCACTTTGAGCGTAAATGGCAGCCATGTTGGAAAATGATCGTCACTGTCTAATCCGCTACCCTGTCTAAACCGGCATTTTATTTCGTTCCCGTTGGGTGCCGTTTTAGACAGGTTTCATTGTATTTATCAAACACAACACAGGTCCCCACTAACACAGGTTCCTTATTTGATTAACCTGACAGTGATAGGGACCGTGGCGAAGGTTAAAGTGTTCACTCGTCATGCTGAAGACCTGGGTTCAATTCCCCACATGGGTACAATGTATGAAGCCCCTTCCTGGTGTCCCCTGATGTGATATTGCTGGAATATTGCACATAAAACCATACTCACTCGCTCACTCTCAGTGTTCAAAGTGAAGAGGGTGGTTTAGTGGTCCTCGTGAATTTCTTGATTTTGCTGCAACATTAACTCTATCTAGGGACCTGTTAACTCTCTAGCCTAATACATTAGAATATAAACATGAACCCTTTTCACTAATGGTCATGTCAGATTTTGAACACTACCCTAACATAATAAATGTCAGTTGTCAAGATATTCTGACTGTGCTTACTGCATGCAGTTTTCATCTCTTAAAATATTGAGGGCGGTGGGGTAGCCTAGTGGTTAAAGCGTTGGCTCGTCACGCTGAAGACCCGGGTTCGAATCCCCACATGGGTACAATGTGTGAAGCCCATTTCTGGTGTCCCCGCCGTGATGTTGCTGGAATATTGCTAAAAGCTGCGTAAAACCAAACTCAGTCAGTCAGTCTTAAAATATTGCCAAATGATTTATGATACCACCATGGCCATTGACCTGATTAATGATGTGATTCTGATGAGACAAAATGTCAGATCATGGAAGTGTAAATGTACACCATATATCAGGTAAATCAGCTTGACATGTACTTATAAATACTTATGTTATTTATATTATCTCGTCTGCAGATATGCCAGTTTGTACTTCTGCTGCGCTATAGAACCTGAAGACAATGAGCTGCTTACATTGGAAATCATCCACAGATATGTCGAACTACTGGATAAATACTTCGGAAGTGTAAGTTTTTCCCTGAAGTCTTTTTATGCTAATTTTTAAGCTCTATAATAGCTAGAAAAACTTATTGTTTTATTGTTTTAATGTGAGTGCCACCCCCTAAAATTTATGTACAAAGTAAGTGACCCCCCTGCATGTCATGTACAAAATCAATCCCCCCCCCATCCCCTTCCCATATATTTTAAGCATAATTTTTAATAATGTTGTGTACAAAATTGATGACACCCACAGTACAAGTGTACAAAATTGATGACCCCCTACCTCACCAGAACAAAATGGGTGCCCCTTAAAATCATCATCATCCCCCTTCTCCTCTCTTCCCCTCTCCTCTCTCTCTCTCTCTCTCTCTCTCTCTCTCTCTCTCTCTCTCTTCATCTTTTTATGTCATGAAAAGAAAACAATAGTCTTGTCTAAAGTGGATCAGTATATAATGCCCATGATTGCTTTTCAGGTGTGCGAGCTAGACATAATCTTCAACTTCGAGAAGGCTTACTTTATGTTGGACGAGTTCCTACTGGGCGGGGAAGTACAAGAAACGAGCAAGAAGAATGTGCTAAAGGCTATAGCTGCACAAGATCTATTACAAGAGGTAAGACTATCTTCGAGGTTACACGTTTCCAGTCATAGAGTACCATTGTCTGTACGAGGACGGAGACACTGTTGAAGCTATTTATGAGTCAAGGGGGATAGCTGATATGTTCTTTGAGAACTCTCATATAATAACAAAGGGCTTTAAGAACTTTTTTAAAGTGTTTGAGGAAAAGAAAATGCAAGTCGTTTATTGTACCATGGTTCAGTTGTTCTTGGGATTCAACTGACATTTTTTACCTGGACACAAAAAAATGATGGTTATGAAGATTGTATCTAGCGTCCGTGTCAGTGCTGATAGTTAGTTTCCTGCCTCTTGTAGACATTGGTGTGTTGTATGTTAACACTAAAACATGCTCGTTCTTGCTTTATCTCGGTGCATTAACGCATGTCCACGATTCAAGACTCTATTCACCTTTTCTCATTTCTGATTGAACAGTTTTTTCTCATAATAAAAATCGAAAAACATGAAATAAATATTGAAATGCTGTGAAACAAAATAGGCTGAATGATTAGAATCTTTTTGATCGTATTTCTTCCTGTGAAGATAATGAAGAAAATCATTATGTTGAAACAAAACTATGATTCTCATTGGCCAGAACTTTTGTGTGAATGAAAGCAAGATGCAGCATATGTTTGGTAGCGTGGCAAGGGTTCATTGTTATTAACCTCGGTAATGACGCGTCGTGTCTGCTAACTGAATTTTGATGATTACTAACCAACACATTCCAGCTGCATGTATTTCCTGTTTCTGAACTGTCTTTCCAAAAAGTTCCAAGCCGCATCATGGCACAGCTATAAATAGAGTACCCACAATGCACTGGTAGGTTTGTTGCCATAGTTACGTAAGAAATACAAGCTGTTAGTTTCACCAACATGCATCCAGGACCCAGAGCATGCTGGGATTATCTAAGGAGTGTATGTTCAAGCACGTTTGGCATGTTGACAGCAGTTTCAGCTTTTCAGATTGGAGTTATCCTGAACCAAGATGGCGTCCATTTCATCCTATTTCTTCCCTGCTTTGATTATTCTGATAACTGACTTCTTTTCTCTTCTTCATCACATTTGCCTAAGATAAATGTAATTTGCACAGTTTCATCTCTTGAGGAATAGTTACTTTACAAATGTAAAGAGTTAACAATAAATGTAGTAAATCGTGGTTGATAGACAATGCAGACCAGTTACCATGGTTAAGTGGGTTAAGTGTTCAGAGTAGTATCAGTTTATAGTTCAGAATCACTGGATTTGATATCAGTGTCTATATTATGAACTTGATTGAATTAATCGTGCACTTTTGGTTCTTTTCGTAGCATGCCACAAGTGTGATAACAGATAAACTAACTTTGATTTTATATTTTTCATGCATTCTTTGGTCATAGATATGCAGCTACAGATATGTGGCCTTCCGATTAAATGTTCGATGCATGAAATATCTGTTAATGTCTTTTCATAGAAGAACATTTGTTTTGTAAGGATTTGGACAATCTATAACCCTGTAAGTCTTGGTCTATAATCCTGTAAGTTTTGGTTCCTGTGTTCTACTTGTTTTACAGTATCGGGGCACCTTAGTGCTACCAATGAGGATTATTTACTCTTTTCCTAAATGTCTATCCCTGCTCACGTATTTATCCATTGAATGTTAATGGTTGTTTTGATTTGAAGGATGAAGCGATAGAAACTGCGCTTAAAGAATATGGATTAACATAATCCACTTGACAGGTTAGCCCTTAATACTCATCGCAGCGCTGCTCAGTTGAGAGGCTTTGGAGATTCATGTCGTAGTTGTCTCCCTTGTCGTGGCAGGCTCTGATTTCACATGTCAATGTCACTAACTGACAGTAGTGAGGATAGACCTACAGCCATTAGCAGAGGGCTCTTCAAAAAGAGCTGACGCTTCTTGAATTACCCTGTTTGTGAAGTAGCTTGTGTATTAAATTGTTTGACTCATCCATTATTGCTGTGTAAAGGTATGGTAAGTGATATCTTTTAATATTATTATTAAGTTTTCATGTTCAGGTATGATGTTTTGTAAGTTATGACAGAAAAAAACAACCAAATCAGTATTTGCTACCATGTGTTACCATGGTTACACTTGTAATGTAAACTTGACAAATTCTTAGAATGTTTGAAGGTCAACGAAACAAAATTGATGGGAGAGGTAGATACACTGGAAAAATTTGACCATCATTTTATATTAAATCATTTGTTTGACATCTGCAATTTTCAAATTTGTCACCTTAGCATCACAGAGTGGGTCATAAAACAATAATGAAATGTTTAAAGAATCAGCAAGAATTACCAATTCTGGTGAGGCCAGATAAAAAAATTGTTGTGGTTCTAGTACAAACTAATAACACATTTATCAATGTATAATTGTATATTCAATCAAGGTTTCGGCCATCATGTTGACTTTCTCTATCAGAATGTCTGATGTCCTTCGGTGCCAGGAAAAAACAATGGTATCTGAATGCTTATTTCATTTAAACCGCTTAAAAAACATTAGGGTCCGCACCAGAATTCAAGGTTCGGTCGGGTAATCGGAACCACAGCATTTGTTTTTTTAGGCCTGACTGAATTATATCATTTCAGACCTTGTAAATAAGAATATTCATCACAGCTTATTGTCAATGACCCGGACAGACTCGTGTGTATGATGTCATTTCAAACGATGTGAAATTCTTGTAGACTTAAAAAAATTGCAGTTTCCCAGCATGTCCTGGAGTAAGTCCTTGTAATCGATGAATGTAGATAAGTATATGCTTCACTCATAATGAGACTTGTGTGTAGCTCCTCAACCTTTTTATCATACCTTTACCTGTTAAGACAATTCATGGCAATTGAAGAAAGTCTATAAATTCCCAATTTAGTCCATAATGTTTCCTGGCCATCTTGCCACAGATACTAAACCACTACCCAATTAATCACCTACTATACATGGAACTGTTATCATTTCATGTGTACTTTACATATTGAGAAAATTCCTGGTAAATGAGATAAATTTTTCAATCCAAATTTGGTCGAGGATGATTCATGGTCATCTTGCCGCAGCTATTAAATAATTCCTGAATCCCATACATGAAACTGTAATGTTTGTGACATTGACGAGTGAAATGAACAGCTTGCCATGAAGGACAACAGTTGTTGACCGATGTGTGATCTCTTGCTTTGAGAATGTTGGAATGACGACTACTTCTACGTTATTAGCCAGTCTAGTGCATACTATCCCTCAGTCACCGACTGGGCCATCAGTTTGCGGTCTGTGTGGATGTGTTTGGAAGTGTTATGTTGTGTTTGTCACAGATTTCCATATCAGTCGTGCATCTTCTCATGTGAATGCTGTCTCTCATTGTCTATCATGGCTACATAAATTCAAACATAAACTCAAGCACCTGCTCCTGTCTAAATATGGCTAGTGGGGGAGGAGAGGGGATGAAATTCACATGGATTAGTTAGATCGTGTCAGTTAAAGAAATTTTTCACTTCATTCTAGCCACATTAGTTTTATACAGGTGGTATATTATGATCAAAATTTTAGATCAGATTTTCAATTTTACTTTAAACTTTCTGAAAATATAAATTTGAAAAATACTTTTGTTCCAGAAGTAAGGTTAGGTAATGATTCGTATGGGGTAGTGCAGAAACATCTTTATCTGTGAAAAGAAGAATTTCAAATTAGAAAGTTAAACTGTGCGGTTTTTTCTTTAAGCCATCTTTTTGTTCATAGGCTGACATTATTTATCACGATGCACAGGTCTTTTCAAACTCGCATCCTTAATTATTTCACAGCATAATTTGCCTTCTTACTTTTTATTTTATGCACCCTATTTCACTTGGTAGATTTACCATGATAGCATCCACTGTCTGCTGCTAGTGCTGTATTCCAATATTTTTGGGTTTGAATAAATAATCGTCCAGTTATACATCTTGGTCATGCAAGACCACACCTGTGCCCCCAGGTCTGTTTGGTCTTTCACCCCATAGTAGCTTGCATGGTGTGATGTACTAAAATACTTTGAAAGTTGCAGTAAGCTGTACCAAGTCACTAACACTAGTAACAGGTTTTCGTTCAGTTCATTGTAATTCTTGTCAACTTTCTCCTGAATGTCTTGATAGACTCATGTACTGAATATCCGTAATACAAGGGTACCAATCGAACAACATTCATAAGCCTATGATAAACTATAGAGCTATGACTGGTAGGAACATAGGACACTCAGAAAATTGACAAAGTGGAGCTGTCATTAAAACCATAATCGTGTAAAATGGGTTAAAGAGATTGAGCAAAAGAGAAATGGTTTAATGGAGATTGAGTGGTAGTGTAGAAATGGTTTAGTGGAGATTGAGCAGAAGTGTACAACTGGTTTAGTGGAGATTGAGAAGTAGTGTACAAATGGTTTAGTGGAGATTGAGAAGTAGTGTACAAATGGTTTAGTGGAGATTGAGAAGTAGTGTACAAATGGTTTAATGGAGATTGAGCAGTAGTGTACACAAATGGTTAAATTGAGATTGAGCGGTAGTGTACAAATGGTTTAATGAAGATTGAGCAGTAGTGTACAAATGGTTTAATGGAGATTGAGTAGTGTACAAATGGTTTAATGGAGATTGAGCAGTAGTGTACAAATGGTTTAATGGAGATTGAGCAGTAGTGTATAAATGGTTAATGGAGATTGAGCAGTGTACAAATGGTTTAATGGAGATTGAGTAGTGTACAAATGGTTTAATGGAGATTGAGCAGTAGTGTACAAATGGTTTAATGGAGATTGAGCGAGTAGTGTACAAATGGTTTAATGGAGATTGAGCAGTAGTGTACAAATGGTTTAATGGAGATTGAGTAGTGTACAAATGGTTTAATGGAGATTGAGTAGTGTACAAATGGTTTAATGGAGATTGAGCAGTAGTGTACAAATGGTTTAATGGAGATTGAGTAGTGTACAAATGGTTTAATGGAGATTGAGTAGTGTACAAATGGTTTAATGGAGATTGAGCGGTAGTGTACCAATGGTTTAATGGAGATTGAGCAGTAGTGTACAAATGGCTTAATGGAGATTGAGCGGTAGTGTATAAATGGTTTAATGGAGATTGAGCGGTTGTGTACAAATGGTTTAATGGAGATTGAGCGGTAGTGTACCAATGGTTTAATGGAGATCGAGGAGTAGTGTACAAATGGTTTAATGGAGATTGAGCAGTAGTGTACAAATGGTTTAATGGAGATTGAGAGTAGTGTACAAATGGTTTAATGGAGATTGAGCAGTAGTGTACAAATGGTTTAATGGAGATTGAGGAGTAGTGTACAAATGGTTTAATGGAGATTGAATGGTAGTGTACCAATGGTTTAATGGTTTAATGGAGATTTCGAGCGGTAGTGTACAAATGGTTTAATGGAGATTGAGAGTAGTGTACCAATGGTTTAATGGAGATCGTGGAGTAGTGTACAAATGGTTTAATGGAGATTGAGCAGTAGTGTACAAATGGTTTAATGGAGATTGAGCAGTAGTGTACAAATGGTTTAATGGAGATTGAGCAGTAGTGTACAAATGGTTTAATGGAGATTGAGCAGTAGTGTACAAATGGTTTAATGGAGATTGAGAAGTAGTGTACAAATGATTTAATGGAGATTGAGCGGTAGTGTACAAATGGTTTAAGCATGATGGAACTGAAACTTTTGTGCTCCACTTCTGTTTACTTTAAAAAGAATCTGTGGACCATCAAGTAAATTCTGGTCTTAGTTGATCTGGACGATGGATGGCAGCAATTATGAGATACTAACAGCATGTTCAGATTGGTCTAGAAGATGGGTGTGGGGTGGTTTTGAATAAATTACTTACTTATTGGTTTAGAAATTGTTTGTGGGCCAACTATGATTGTATAATAATAGGTGTAGAATGTTGTTAAGGGGCAAATTTGAAGAGATTACAGACAGATAGATCTGGGAGTTGATGGGTTGCAGTTCTGAAGAGATTACTTACAGATTGGTCTAAGAGTTCTTCAGATACGATTAGGAAGAGATTTCTACAGATTGGTGTTGGAGCTGGTCTTTGGGTAATTGGGAAGAGATGATGTACAGTTTAGTCTGAAAATTTAGGTGATTTATGAAGAGATTACTCTCAGATTGATAAAGAAGTTGGTTAATAGAATGCTTTAGACTGGTCCATAAGTTGGTCGTGGGACACTTATGAAGAGATACTTATTTCTTGGTCTAAGAGTTGATCTGGGAATGCTTATAAGAGCAGGGTGCTTAATCCTATGAGATCTGTAGTTTGTAAAACTGGCTAAGAGGTAAGGCAATCTGTGATGCAAGAAATCTAAAATTGCAGAAGAAAGTAGAAAGGATATAAACAATTAAGCTGTCATTTTGTTTTTATTCCATGGTTTGCTATGTACCGTAAGAACTAATATGCATAACCATATTTATGACATGATATAAAAGTGATATAAACTAACTGATATATATACACAGTAATAAACCTAACAGAGATGAATTATATCAATCAGCCCATCACCAGACCTAATATGTAGAATTAATGTACCTGATATCATATCAACATCTGAAGTACACATTAATTGTAATATCCAGCATATCATTACACAAGGGGTTCTGCAGTCCCTTCTCTGACAATCACTCAATTAAATAACCACTGCCACTCTTTTCAAAATTTGAATTAAATTTACATATGGCAGAAGAAGTGGTATTTTCTAAATTAAGAAATTGTTTTATTTGT